AAATTGTTTGAAGATTTGTTGAATACATATTTTGAATTTATTCCAATAATAAATTGTGCGATAAAGTGGTAATATATATAGTATAAATTGCAATGCAGTATAAAATATTTTACATTTTTTTGTGCCGATCTTTATTTTGAATGAAAACTATATAAATAAGTTTTCGACATATGGACAAAATCACAAATTCATCAGTAAAATTTTAAATTGATTCGCTAGTTTCAAATATAAGGTGAATACAATTTTACCTTCATTGTGAATGATTTCCTAATAGGCTAAATAATCTATGTGGATCCCAGCAATTTAATAAAACAGCATTTTTATATAAGTTGCATACAATTTTGTCGTTTTTAGGAATTTTGTAGAGTACATCACAATAATGAAAATCAGAAATTTTACCTTTACTGTGACTGATTTTCCTAATAGACTGAATAATCTATGTGGATCTCAGCAATTTATTAGAAACGGTAATGTAATATAAGCTGCATACAAATCTGGTCGATTTTAAGGAATTTTGTCTTTATTGTGACTGATTTCCTAATAAACTGAATAATCTATGTGGATCTCAGCAATTTAATAAAACGCCAATAGTAAATACAAATCTTGTCGATTGCATTACAATAATGAAAATCAGAAATTTTTCCTTTATTGTGACTGATTTCCTAATAGACTGAATAATCTATGTGGATCTCAGCAATTTAATCAAACGCCAATTTAAAGTATGGCAAATACAAATCTTGTCGATTTTTTCTTGTCGAATCTTGAATCTTGATCTTGTCGAAGTTTTTTTTTCTTTATTGTGACTGATTTTCTAATAGACTGAATAATCTATGCGGATCTAAACAATTTAATAAAACAGCATTTTATTTTGATAATTAATTTGAATTTAATTTGATTTTATTTTGACGAGTTATTTGTTCTTTCTGCCTGATGCTGATTGTTATTAGTAGGTATTGTTTTTAATAGTTTATCTTTCATTTGCGGATTATTTTATTATCTATTTATTTTCTTATCACGCTCATCTTGTTATCAAATGCTATGGAAATAGAGATAAAGATAATAAACACTTTATATCATATTAAATATAATTATATATAAATATATAAATATATATTTTGTATGATCCTGAGTTTGATGTTGGGTATCAGCAAAGTCTAAACATTGGCAGAGCATCAATTAAAAACATCAACTTTTTTTAAGAATTTATTTTTCATCCTTACGTTTCGTCTATAAACCTAGCTTTAATTCAGTGGAAACTAAAAATAATTTAAAAATTAAAACAAATGAATTAAAAAAATTATAACAAGTAGAAAGTACTGACTGAAGTAGTGTTAAAATAGAAATTCAATAATCTATGGTATCAGGATATGGTAATGCCCTATTATTAGACTTTGTTAATATATATATATATATAATATATATATATTTATATATATTTATAATATACATTATATTAAAATATAATAAATATTAATAATCAATTTATAAAATAAATGTGTTGAGGATGGGGAAGAGCTCTTTCGGAGTAGTTTATTCTATATCATACAATAAATACTCCAAGGAATAGAAAATTAAGTATATTTTTATTTTGTTTTTTATACTTAATTTTGAATATATTTTTATTATTACCATTACTATCATAGTTTCCTTTCTATGGTCATTTTTATGATTACTTCCTGAATACATTTTATGGATTCAACTAAAAATTAATTGGTGCTCGCTTCTGTTTATGTGCATAAAATTGTTGATAAAAAACACATTGCTCTTAATATAAGAATCTTCATTGAGAAAGATAGTCGAAAATATCCTTGACCTGTATTTAACCTATGCCAAACCAATACCGCAAACAAATAATTATGCGTATTTGGCTGCGTATTACAATATCAATTGATATGGATTTTATTTTACATTAACATTTTATAGTGGAAAAAAACGTCTGAATTTTGAAAGTTATTTTTGGTAAGTTACATACAGTACAAAATTGATCTAAATTGTTATGGCAAAAACTAAAATTAGATGTAAACAATGCAAAAGAAAAATGGAGATCTTTTTACTTGATTGATACTTACGTAATAAATTTGTAGGAGTAAACTCCATGGAAAACAGTTGAAGTTGAAGAAAAACAGTTTATACCAAATTGTGGTTATTTCTGCAATTTTTGTGCCATAAATGTAGAGTTTCAATTAGTTCTATTTACATATTTATAATAATACAAATCACTGCACTTATTTCTGAATTTTCGAATATCCTTTGACGTTTAACAAAAAATATATATTGCACAATGGTGGCCAACTTCACATTTGAAAAATAATTTTCAAATTGTTGAATGAGAGATTTTTAAATATTATAAATATTGTTTTTCTAAATATATTTGAAATAGTAATATAGCAATAAAATCACAAACATTCTTTGTAGTTTTGAAAGATATTTTTTAAGAATTTTGGACAGATTGCATAACGATGACGTTTTCCAAAAAATATGCATTGAACAATGCTGACCAACTTAATATTTGAAAAATAATTTCCAAATTTTTGAAAGAAAGATTTTTTAGTGTTATAAATAATGTATTTCTAAATGTATTTGAAATAGTAATATAGCAATCAAATCACAAACAGTCCTTGTGGTTTTGAAATATGTATATATATTTTTTTGACGTTTTCCAAAAAATATGCATTGAACAATGGTGACCAACATAGTATTTGAAAAATAATTTCCAAATTTCAGAAATAAAGATTTTTAAAGATTTAAATAGTGTAGATATACAATATATTTGAAAAAGTAATGTAGCAGTATAATCCCAAACATTTTTTGTGGTTTTGAAAGATATTTTTTAAGAATTTTGGATAAATTACATAACGAAGACGTTTTGCGAAGAATATGCATTGAACAATGGTGACCAACTTAAATATTTGAAAAATAATTTCCAAATTTTGGATATAAAGATTTTTAATATTATAAATTGTGTATTTCTAAATATAATCAAAATAATAACATAGCAGTATGATCACTAACATTTCGTGATTTTGAAACATATTTTTTAAGAATTTTGGACAAATTGCATAAAAAATGGCCGCTTCAAGGGTTGCATTAACCACTAGATAATATAGTAATATAAAATTTATTCAAGAAATAAACCAGTTGAATACATTTCTGGTCGTTGTAAATTCCTTTTTATTCGATGTTTCAGTTCTAAAACTCCAAAAATTTTGTATGATTTTTAGTCTATGTAAACTTTACAAGGATTCTGAGCGGTTTCGAGCAGTTATATAATTTCGAAAGTCACATTTAATAAGAAGATATCATATTTTACTATTGTAGAAAGATATTAATAATTTAGAATGCTATAAAACAAATTAAATCAAGCACCATTATCATTTTGATGCTGAATAAAATGCACGCCTGATGGGAATCTTATTAGAATCTGGCACCACTAATTACAACAGCTGATCGAACGTCAAGAAAATGGATGGTTTATCTGACCATTGTTAAGATATGTGATGTTATTTATTCTGTACATTTATGTTGCATAGAGTCATGATTGGTAAATTGACTATTTTTCACAATGTGGTATTTTTAATATGTGAAACATACGTCTATAAGGTTCGCGGATGAGTTTTTCGAATAATATGACATTGTATATAAAGTATATTATTGGAGTTGATAGCTGTCAAAAAGACAGCACTTTGTTGAACATGGGCAATTCGTAAGAAGCAAAGTATTTTGACGAAAAGGAAGTATGTGTTTTAAATAAACAATCTCATGGAAGATGTAAAGAATATTTTAGGAGCAGCTGGGGCTGCTTGTGAAATTAAACGGGAGAAAATGGACAAAATACAACAGTTGGTCGATAATACATTAAGGTTAGATAGTAATATACTTTATTAGTTTACTTAGAGATGCACCATACACAATTTTTGTAAAAAAAAATATTATATTATTGTATTAACAAGAATTTTTCCAGATTTACTGCTTTAAACTCGCTACAACTAGAATATTGTACAAAATTAAATTTGCTTGTTACAGTTTTTTAGCAAGGTCCTATTGATTATTATCTTAAATTGTATTCTGTGCAATTCATAACATTTTATATATATAAAAACAAATATTGTTAAATTATATATTCTCTCCTAAAACGGTTGAATAAAATTTATTTGTTAATATATACAAACTAATTTCTTTGCTTACTGGAGTCCTTTCATAAATGTATTAATGTGCATTACAGTATTACTTACATATTTGTTCTACAACAAAATCCAATATTCATTATCATCTGGTTTTCAGTGAACAGTCGCGGCAAAATATCCTTAATATTTTGGAACAGATATCACATTTATCTGGTCCAGAGCGATTACTATTGTACCTGAAACTTCCCGGTGGTCAGCCATCGACACAGGATCCTTTAAGACATCCCCCGAATCCTCTTGGGACAAGGCATGAAATAAGCACTACTGCTGCATGGGTTCGAACACATTTAGAACATGATCCTGAGGTCTCTGTGCCAAAACAAGATGTTTATGATGAATATCTGTAAGTATTCGATTATTTAGATTTATGAATGCATATACTATTTAAGTTTGCAATAGTAATTATAATTAATATATCTATTGCATAATTGTTCGCTAATAAATAATAAAGGTATTAATAACTTGCAATCATAAGTATAATGTTATATAAATATTGCGATGGTTAATATAAAAAATTTAGCAATGCCATTAAAGTGTACCCTTGTTTTGAACTAATTATAGTTTTTTTTTTTATCATATTACTAATGTACAATTTAATGTTGATATATTATTGCAGAGCTTATTGTACAACAGCTAATTTAAAACCACTTTCTACGGCTGATTTTGGCAAAGTCATGAAACAAGTATTTCCAAATCTGAGACCTAGGCGACTTGGAACACGTGGCCATTCTAGGTAATAACATGTATTAAAAGTTAATAATTATATTTTATTTAATTAAAATGTAATTGTATTACATTTAAAACTGTTTTTTATAGATATTGTTATGCAGCCATGAGAAAAGCTCGAAGTTTAGCTCCTCCAATGCTTCCTGACTTAAGTGCTGAGGTATTTATCAAATTGTTGCTCATTAAGTTATTTATGCACTGCATTATGCATTGAAAATTTGTTGCTTTGACAATGCTAATTAATGCACTTCATATTAATGTATATATTTAAAGAATAGTATTTTTACTACAGATATCTAGTATTTATATGTAATATTTTAATCCTGATAGCCTGATGACTCAACTTCAAATCAAAATGATGTGTGGTCGATTATTCAACCATGGGCTGAAAAGACTTTGCATCAGAGTTTTTCAAATATAGAGGGCTTTGCAGATTTTATCAATAAATTGGTTGCACAGCGCAAAGGTAAAACATTACCCATATTTGTTACAAGCCCTATTAATAATAAATCTTTTTTAACATTAATGGCTATAGTTATATATCTTACTATATTTTATCAAAACTATATTCACTCAATTAATTTCTCTAATATTTTAGATGCACCATCTGATTCCACTCAATCTAAACTAAATAATCGGGACCACAGAGAAGGAAAAAAACGCATGCTACCTCCATTGAAGTCACCTAGAGCTAAGAAAAACAAAATGCAGAATTCTAATTCTCAGACTTTTGTGAATAGAAATAACAATGTGTCCACTTGTATTGCTCCTGATATGATAAAAGATCTCAATCAGCAAATGGTAAAGTCTGAACTTGCAAATGAAAATGTAGAGTTAATAAAGGATTCTAATCTTGCACCCCTTGAGCATGATAAATCATATAACACTTGTTATAGTACAAAAATAAATCCAATGGGATTTAATGAACTGGACCCAGTGGCAGGAGTCAGCGGACTACCTGTAGAATGCAGTGATATAGCATTAAATTTAGCTGATAAGCCTTTAAAAGATCGAATTAATATAATGAAAACATGTACAAATCTAGTTGACGATAAATCTAACTATATTATGCCAATGAACTTGTCTAATAATAACCTGACTGGTACAAATATTAACTGTGATACCATCAATATCAAAGATGAAACTCAAGATAATCTTCTTGAATTAAATGGTTTAAATAAAAGGAAGAATATTAAAAAATGTAATAACACTAAAAAGAGACGGAATACTTTATCTAGAAGGTTTAGCAGTGGAGATCTCATTGGACAAAATAATTTTGCATCTGGTGGCACAATGAATAATATGTCACTGAAAGATTCTTTAGGAAATTTAGGTACAAGTGAAAGCACTCCTAATCTGTTATTTAATTCTCAATCAAATATTATGCCTCAAAAATATAATGACATGCCAACTAAAACTTCTACTTGTGTAATCAATACATTTGATTTTCATACCACTGACATACAAAATAATAGATTGGGATTAAATGAAGCTGATTCTGTTTATTCTAATATCATTGCTCCGGGTGAGCAGGTTTTGAATCAAATAACAAATGAAGTAAAGAAGAACTTCCTGCTATTGTACCCACCAATGGTTCTCAAATCATTCCTGAAATAATTACCGAGTCTGTTATAGATTGTGTTGATAACAATGATGTTAAAATTAAAATAGAACAGGATGAAGCAACAAGTCAAAATACATTGGATATCTTACCAACTGAAATTCCTAGAGAACGTGTTATTAGTATATGTAGTTTGGATAAAGATGCCCTAGATGGTTACTTACATGGTGGTGATAATAGTCAAGAACAAGAAGAGGAGTTATTGCAATATTTTCAACAAGATTCATCTTCTGCATCTAAATTAGAGCAGCCACCTAATAATAAAAGTGATGATAAGTTAAACTTAGATGCTTTAAATGACCGGTTAAGCCAAGATTCTGTTAAATCAAATGTTGGTGTACAACTAAACAATACTTCAGGTAAAACATTATCTGCTCAAGACCGACTTTCTCAATTACGTTTCCTTCTTGAAAAAAATATGCAAGGATCAAAACCTGAAAATAACGATAAACCTCCTACATATATTAAGAAATACTCAAGCAGTACAGGATAATCTAAATTTTAATCACATCTCTGCATCTGAAAGTTTAGCTATATTATCACAAAGAAGAAATAATTTATTAAAACCTTTACCTAATACTAAAATGAATAATGGCTTGAGTGCAAGAAGACATGTAAGCTTTGATAGTAATCCGGTGTGTGCCATGAAAGAAGAAGTTCCACAAAGCCCAACAACTAGAAGAAAAAACTGCAGTTTTATGCCAATTCCATCGTCACCGTTATCTCCTCATACTAAAACAGGATTTGGTAATACAAGTCCTAAGTCAGCGAGTTCTAATGCAAGCCCTTTTGTCAGTCCAAGAAATACGCCAGCTTTAAGGCAGAGATCTATGTTTGACAAGTTGATGAAATCTAACAAAAATTTACAAACTGGTTAGTATTTTTTAGTTTAGTTATCCTGATATAATTTGTAATTAAATTTCTTTCATTCTCATGTTCGATTAGTAACATATCAATTATAATATTTGTTGGTAATTGCTCCAGGTTGATATGGAGTTTTTTTTTTTTTAATTTATTGGCTTATTGGACCTATAATCAAATACATTAACTATATGGCATTAGTTTATGATATCATGGTCATTCTTGCGATTGATTTCTTTAAAACACTATATTGTACTATGTGTAAATGCATCGAATGGCTCATACATAATAATTTATCCTTATAGATGCTGCTGCTTCTATGTTATCTGTGAATAATATGAACATTCGATCTCAATCTGTTCCTCTTCACATGAAAAGTATGGTTTCACCTGGTCAGAGTCCATTATTCTTCAACACACAGTATCCGCAAAACATCATTCCTCAGCAAATGATGAGTTACAATCCATCAGCCAGCAGTTCAGTAGGTGCTACACCTGTTCCACCTGAATATAATGATTTTGATACTAATTACATAGATATGATAAATTCAACTACAGATATAATGTGTGCTAATACTTTGAATAATAATTTCCAAGACGATCTTAGCGTTCCTATTGTTGAGTCTGATCAGTCTGAAAATGTTTATGCTGCAATGGAAATGAATCAAATTTTGCCTCAAACAGACTTTGCTGATATAAGATCTTTGAAAAGATCTATGAGCATAGAAAATAATTTTCCAATTATGGACGGCGATGATTCTAAGGGTATAGCGTCCAGATCGGTACCTAGCACGCCGATATCATACAACAAAATATCTTTAGATTTTCAGTTACCACAACAATTTAAAGAATTCGATTCAATGATCTCAAAATCTGTTCCATCGACGCCTTTGCGTGATAGAAGCTTTCAATATAGCCCAACTTATCGAAGCCGAGATTTCTTAATCAATGGTAACTCGGTCGAGGCTTATAAGAATTCTATGACACCAATAGACAATGGTGTCATAGATGATTTATCGGAATTGGAGCACCAGAAAGCATTGCAATTAACAAGTATAGAGCAAGAGTTAACGGATTTCGGTGCTACGGATGCCATCATGTCGGGTGATATAATGAGTGAATTGGGAGGAGAATTATAGGACTGGGTGAGTGATTTAGAACGAAAAACATTTTTTTAATAAATTAAGTGGTGGATTTTTGAGTATATGCTCGATACATATTTGATAAATAGCTGGTGATAACAGATTCTTTTGTCAAAGAAGTAACAATTTGAAATATCATATTTCTCATTGTTAAAAGAAATAATTAATAGAATTATATATTGGATACAAAATTATTTGTTTAGACTATTAAAAATTGGTTATCTATAAATTTTTTATTTCCATCAAGACAAAGAATAATTGATATCATCAGCTGCAGTTTATAATTTTTACCCATAGATTATATTGCTTGCCTGTAAACTATTATAATTGATGGAAAAACTTCAATATAAATTACACTTTAGACAACGTCCGTACAATTACAAAAATCTAATCGTAATTCATCTTGTATTGTGAATATTCTGAATTTCTTTCATAGTCATACCAATGATTTTATCAAGAAATTGAGTGTAAATCAAATGTTCTATGTTGTAGTGTATTGTGCCTGAAATCCGATCTTTTGGTCTCATAAAACGTTTTAAACGTTAGAACGAATTTCAAGCATCGCGATATGTTAAATGGTTTCTTCGTACTTACAATGTTACCTTGTCGAAATAGAATTTTCATTTCGCCAAAATATAATTAATTATTGCGTTGTTTAAAGTGTAGAAATGTTAATCGTCAAATACTTAAAAATAAATCTATTGCTTAGTCGAATATTTTTGAGTATGTTCGAAAGTTGTAATGGTACTAATATTAATTGTAATAGCCTAATGCTGTGAAATATCTCATAATGAACTTGTAGCATTATTTTTGCGAACTTTATATAAATTATGAAGAAAAAACAGACCAATTTGATGTCAGCTGTGCTGGTTATTGGGTGATGATACTTTATCTATAAAAAAGTTTAGTACGTGATGGTTTCTATTAAAATTTTATAGATTTGAATAAGCGAATAAAAAATGTTTGGAATGGTGCTTTGATAGAGGTCTATTTTGATTATTGAATATTATATAGTTTTGGTGAATTCTTTTGCTAGTTTTTAGATAATGTTATATATGTTGAAAATGAAAATTTAATTGAACGAACCTTTAAATATTAAGGTTGAAATGTGTTGTGAAATTAAATGTATAATCTGTGATTTGTATTCAGAAGTTTTCAGTCGTCTACGTGTACGAAATTTTAACTTTGTATAATTTCTTGTGGATAACTATCCAACTGCAACAAACATTTATATACGTAATGTCAATAGAATTTAGGATTTTTATTGATTTTCTGCTGCGGTCGCAATTCAATCCTCGGTTAGATCTTTCAAGTCTTTTTGAAATTATGAACTTTGAAATTGTTGAGCAATATATTTAGTATTCCTCGGCCGACACAAATATAAAATTATATTTAGTAAAGCTGATATTTCATTGAATATTATTACTGTTATTTAAAATTTTGTTTTCTGTTACAATTAAGGTGACCATACGTCCCGGATTGGCCGGGACAGCCTTGCCTTGCGTCCCGGCTTTTTCCAAAGCAATATTTGTCCCGGTTTTAGGTGTTTTGTCCCAAATTGTCCCGGATTTTTCAAAATGTTTTGATTACCAATATTTTTTTAAATATATTTCAACTAGAAAATTGGAACTGAAAAATGTTCAACACCACCCCTTCCCCGCTCTCATGCACATTATAAACCGTCTCGGATTTCATGGAAAAAAATATGGTCACCTTAGTTACAATACGTTTATTACAAAATTCATATTTCTATTGTTTTTATACATATTTGAGTTTTAATACATAAACACATATTACAAATTTATACAATCGACCACTTACAAATATTTAAGTATGACCAGCGTTTTTGTAAGAGCTTCTTCTTCTTCTTCAATCATATTATATTTTTAAAGCATTTTTATACATTTGAACACTTTATATACATACATGTTAAAAACTTGATTACATATACCCCATAGTATACTATTTCCAAACTCAATGTAATAATGCCACTATCAGTATGCGTTATCAAAAATAAATTTCTGAATAAAATTACTAATTTAAAGGCCTATTAACATAATACCTTAATATCAGTTTTCCTTTATTTCAAAATTTACATACGTGTGCATAAAAAGCATAACGTTTTATTTTTGGTATTCGAAAATATTGTGATTTTGAATATATAAATATAAAAATATTTTTATAAAACCATATTTGAAAAAAAAGGTATTCAGGAGAACTAATGCCAGTGGTACTATAGTTTTGATAATTATAACAATGTGTGAAAAACCCTGCAATGTGTGTATATTGTCAGTTTGTGTAAATTGCAAAAGAATTCCAAAAAATGTATGAGATATTCCAATATCTATAACTATCTAAAATATTTGTACTGGTGCAAAGAATGAGAGGTGAATGAAAATTAATATATTATATAAATTGGTATATTTTGTATTTGATATATATTTAGTAGATTTTTTTATTTTTAAAAGATTTATTTTATATCACAAAAAATTTTAGTTTGCAGTGTATTAGATTAGAAGTTTGAATGTCCTTATAAATCATTTTTATAAAATTATGTATTATTTTGTTGATTCCGTATTCGTAATTAAATTTGTAGAAGTGCAATAATCATGCTAATATAATTAAAACTCGAATATGGAAACTTCAAAATACATATCATTTTATACATTAAAGTATTTTCTTTTATTTTTTAAATATTTCTGCATACATGTAATAACCATATCTTTGACAATTTGGTTAATTAAGACTATAATTAATTGTGATAAGTGGAAACAAGTGAATATAAAATTAGTGTAATGTTGATTATTTAAAGGTGTTGATTGAATTGTAAACAAACATATATAAAAAACTATATAATCAAACCGATTTATATGAAACGGTATAAGAGAAAATATTTTATTGTAATTGTATATATGTAAGTATGTATGTATGGTTTTGCATATGTTTATATATATATATATATATATATATATATATATATGCAACTTAAAGCTAGAAACTATAATTGTGATAACATAAAATATTGAACTATTGAGTGTTAAAATGGTTTCGAAAATAAAAAAGAATGTGTTTGAAGCAGATATTTTATTATATGTAAAATGCGAAGAATATTATGTTGTTGTAATAATTTTTATATTATTTTATGATTTCATGTGATATTGAATCAACTTAGAAAATGGAAAAATTATGTAGATTTTTATCATCTCTGATTTGATTACATGATCTCACATTATTATAGTTTGATATAATATTACACTATTGTAGTTTAATGGTTGATTATTTTAGAACCCATTTAAATAAATCAGTAAGAAATTAAATGGTTTATCCCAATATGGGCAAACTCGTTGCAAGAAATTGTCTCACAAACTCCAAGAAAAATTTATATTTTTTATTGAATAATAGTGGCATTCATGGCTTAAGATTTCTGAGTGATAAAAATTATTTGCTTACCAGGTAAAATTAAAATAGGTTTGGTTTACTTTTATAATTTGGTTTATTTCATTAATTCTGAAATTATTATAATATATTAATGTTTAGATATTAATGGTGCAGCAACTCTGTTCTATAAAAATATCAAAGAGTAAATTAAGAGCAAAAATTCGTTATATCTTCTCTTGCATATACTTTTATACTCACCATTTTTTCAGAATTTTCTGGTTTATTATGTGCATAATATCGATGTGGGGTTTGGCTTGTATCACAAAATCAATTTTGAATAATTACAGGTATGTTGAATCAAACATTTTATTACTAATTATTTTATTACAAATTATTAATATTAATAATTTAATTTAAATTATAGTTTTGCTTTGGTATTAACAGTTGGAAACATATTATAATTATACATTTTCAAATGTAAACGGATTCAATTCAATTTTAAGCTGTTGGTTATATTTACATTTCACTTATTAAATAAATTTGTTTTCTTCGAAACAGCTCACAATCTATAAGTTATGTTCTGGATTCTCAATACTTGGAATGGAATACTACTTTTCCTGCAATTTTTGTTTGTCCTATTGCTGGATCTAGTAGTACGAGGACAAGGTAAGTTTTTATTTATAAAATTGTAATATACGAATAATTTCTAATATACCAAATCGATTTTTATATATATTGAATAATAATATAAAACAAGATTATAAGTTAACTTATGATTAGGTTATATTTCGCAAACATTATTTTATAAGAGGCCGCCCAATTGATTTCTTTTCTGGTTGCGATATGTTTATTATTAATTTTGATCATATTTTTAATTTGTTGCAGTAATGTCCAGAAATACTATTTTTACTTGATCATATTTAGATATATAGTTTCATGTAAAAATGGATCGATTAAATTGATGTTTTATATCTGATTTGTTGTTTTATAATTGTTATGACTTATTTAAGTAATTACTTCTATTAAAAATTGTTTTCATGATGATTTATAAAATAGGTTTCTAAACTTTTTTTTACAAATTTGTATTTATAGAATCACGACTAATATGAAAGTTTTCATTGTTTACTATATAATGCCAATTTTTTTTTTAATTATTTTATTACAAGCGGAGACAAAGGAAAAATTGATGAAAATGTTGGAAAATTTGTTTATGAATCTACAAAACGGGTGAACTGTGATTACAATACGACAATGGAAAAACTATGCGAAGAACTAGATCATGATGCACTCATGAGTGCAGTACGTATTTTTATTTATATGTATTAATAAAACTTTTCTAATTACGTTGCTTCATTATTTATTGAATAAATTTGATTATGATAAAAATATTTTTTTTAATTGATGACAATTATTTTTTACAGTATTATGAACTAAATGTCAGCAACGTTATTGAAGATGTTTCATTTTTGGGTGCTCGACTTTCAGTACAAGATACGTTCAAATTCAAACGAACACAAATCGGTCCATGTTTTGTCGCTAGTCAGTATGATGTAAGGTACAAAATAAATTAAAATTCATTCCATTTTTTCTATAATTATGAATTTGATTAGTTTTATTTTATTTCCACAGCATGGGTACAACTTTCGACAAGTTATTAAAATTTAAT